CGGTAGGGTGTAGGCAGGGTCAAGGGTGAGGGCAAGGCGGTGGATGGGGGTGGGCATCGTCAGTAGTGACATGATAGTCAATATAGGTGGGGTGGGCGGGGCCGGAGGTGGGGAGGGTGGGGGTGGTCTAAACAAAGATGGATATATTCCAATTCTTTTGAGATATTCCATTTCAATTCCTACCAACCAAATGCATGGTCAAATTCCATCAAATTTCATTTCAATTCCGTCAAAGTCAAATTGTTTTGTTGGATTCCAATTCCACGGAATTCCACTCTACGAACCAAATGCCCTATAAGGTTTCAAATCCGAAGAATCCAACCAATCAAATATAAGGCCAGAATGGATAAATCCAATAAAGAACCCTAGGATGCCAATAAAAATTTATAGGTTATAGATTATCTTTAAATGAAGAAATATTAAATGAAAACGATGAGAATTAATCTCAACCTTACAATAAGTTACATTTTAGGGTAAGATTCAAAATGGTTTCTATGTTTGTGTGTATATGTGTGTTTCATATATTAAAAATATATGGACATATTTTGTTTTACATGTGAAGTTAGTCTTTATCCTTCTTAATAATTTTTTGGTTCTCATTTGATTTGTCTTCGTTATTATCTTTAAATATAATTAAAAAGATACTCGTACAATGCAATGAGATAAATTTTAATTTAAGTGCTTTGTTTTATTCAGTCTTTGTTGATATAATACCGATGGTTGCTGCACCTCTCAAAGGAGGCAAAGGAAGAGATTACCATTGATTCTCCTCCAGCAACTGCATCACCACTGTCACTGAAACTGAGACCAATGGTAGAGAAGCCTAAAAGCGTGGTGGAAGACATTACTTCGGTGTCGGAGGAGCCTAAAAGTGTGGTTGAAGACAGTACTCCAGTGGTGAAAGAGCCTAAAAGCATCGTTGAAAACAGTAGTCTGGTGGCGAAGGAGGCTAAAAGTGTGGTGAAGACAATACCCCAGTGGCGGAGTAGCCTAAAAGTGTGGTGGAAGACAATACACCGGTAGCAGAGGAGCCCAAAGAATATGCCATGTTAGAAGAAAATGCAAGCAAGTTTATGAAGAAGCGGCAGTCGCCACCACTAAAGCATGGGTGGAGCCACCTTGGAGTCAAAAGTGGCACCGACTTCCTCTCAAACTTCAAAAATAAAATTTGATATAGTCATAAATCTTAATTACCCATTTAAAAGTGTTTATTCATATCAAATTCTTCTTCTACTTCCATCTTGAATGCCTAGTTTTCTAAAGGTTCTAAACTAAACACGCTACTTTATTGAATACACAAATTTTTTAACAATAAATTTCATGTAATTTTCAAAGAGCTTTTATTATTTATATGGTTATCTACAGACGTCTTATATTTTGTGTATAAAATATATGCAGAGTTATTTTGTTTAGATCACTCGTACTTTTAATTAAAAAAACATATATACTTAAAAAGGTTTTTCCTCTAGATAAACTTTCTACCTCCGGTCCTACACGAGGAGAAAACAGAGTAGGAAGAGAGACGTGACTTGCATTTGCAAGGTGAAAATTACTTTTCCTATTTTAGTTTAATTTGACTTTTGGTCAAAGTTTGGCTTCTATGGTGGAGGTGAGTTTGTATGTGGCGTCTTGTTAAGTATAATAATATATTGTGGATTCACCAAATCTGTAAGATTGGAATCATCATCTAATTCAATCTTGTATTCATGCCACAAGTTAGTGGGGTCTGAAGAGGTGATGGCTTGTTAAAAAGTAAACCTAAATAATAATTGACTAATCCAAGAAGGTTAATATATATATATATATATATATATATATATATATAATGAGAACTGTTTAATTTATGATAAGTGTAAGATCCAACACGAACCGATCATTCATGATAATTATTATGATTTTTTGAAATTAGCAGAAGGGTAAATTAGTAAATTATATTGAGTATTAAATTTAGTTTAATTAGTTTAATATTCTAATTTTGAAATAGATGTGTGTGTGTATATATATATATTAGAATGGACGAGATCACCACCTGTGACCCTCTTTCCCCATCGCCGGCCAAACCGTGCTTCCTCTCCGGTGCAATACTTTACACCGATACGTTTGTCCAACACCGTCCGACCCCTCCTTCTCCGCCATCTCCGGCCACCACTGCTTCTTATTCTCTATCCATCTTCAATCATCAGCTATCATCTCCTCAACTCTCACCTTCACTGGTCCGACCCCCCCGTTGAACAACCCATATTGGTTTTGGTTTTTCATATCCCAAGAGATCTAGTTTCTGAACACCCAGCTTGGTTTTGGTTTCTGATTTTTGTTTAGATCTCATTTTAGATGGGGAATGTAACCCAGATCTTATTGTTAGTGAATGCCCAAAAACCAATTATATGATGATTGTAACTTTGAGTTTTGTTTCATGAAATTAATAAATAAATAAAAAGGCATTCCCATTTTATTGTATTATACTTTGTGTTTTTATTATTCATAATAAATAACCTTAGAATAATGTATTCTAAATGTCCCTAGTTAAATATCATTTCGAGTTTAAGGTTGAAGTAATGTGATAATGACTATCATATGTAGGGATTCATATAGAGATATCGAATCTGCATATGAGTACAAAATGAAGATTTTGTGTATCGGACGTGTCTCGTAATGAGAACACTTCATTGGATGTCATGTGAGTGTCATTAGTGTTTTTTATATGGTCAATGTACTTGTAATTCTTTGACTTGAGAACATGGAGTTTGTTATGTGTGAGTAATGTATTTTGACATTTACTCTAATCATTTCGTAACTGAGTGACAAAATGATAATTGGATATGTTGTATATCACATGATATAATTAGCATATATCGAGATAAGATTTGTCCCTCCTTTATGACGGGAGTGATGTCTCTGGACCTCTTGATAAATATACTAAAGAAATGCATGCATGCTTAGGTAATTGATATGAGATATCATCATCTATTTATTAGTATATTAGAGAATCAAGAAACTAGAAATTTGACATAACGAGAATGACACATTCAATGTCTCGTGTTCAATCTGGACATTAAGGACAAAAGAATTAAATGTGTAAAATAAAATTGACTACAAACCGATAATTTGTTGTATCATCAATTCTTGTCATTTGGGTAATGGTGATGTATTGCTAAATACCCCTCATCGTTTATAACTATAAATATGAGATTTATATTTATTACCAACATGTCGAGAACCCATTGGGTCACACGCTTTGAACATATTCGAATAAGAAGTTTCAATAATTAAAATGTTTAATTATCATATCTGATTTGTATCGATTTAATTTGATTAAATAAAATCAGATATTATTTATGTTGTACATAAATAAAGATAACTAGGGATGGACTTTGTAAGAGAATGATGGTATATGAAAGTCTTACACTCAAACATGGTGGAGGCATGTTGATTTGGTTAGGCCATACCTCTCACATCCATATAAAATGTATGGCATTTTATGCTAGTATTTTTAGGTATTGCAATTCTCTTTCAAAATCACCTACAATAATATGCTCCATTTTCTTTCTAAGTTTTGAAAGCGTGACTAACATCACGAGAAAGTAAATGATTCGGATTGTTCGTGTGGATACCGTGGAGGCATCAAGCTTTGTTTGTTGCTATAATTCAAAATTTTGCTAACTGTGAGGTATAATTTTGAAACACCCGATTCATTCAAATTTGTATGGGTCCTTGGAGGGTTACAGTTTTATTTTCCATTGTGCTTGAGATCCCGTAACCCAACAGATCTTGCCGGAGATGTAACCCAAATATCTTGGAGATGTAACGCAGAAGATGTAAGGTTTTTGGATGTAACCTAGATCTCTTTGGAGATGTAACGTCGAGTGTAATACAGTGGTATCACAGTTTTATTCATCAACCAAATAAGGTATCATAGTGTGTATCACAGTGTATTTTTGTCGTTATACAAAGTGTTTCACAATATATTTTTGTTGTTTTACGAATTGTAACACAATATATAAGGTAATATTGCTTTACTAAGTGTAGCGTACTGTATTTTTTCGTTATGTTATGAAGCGTATCATAGTGTGCATCATGAGTTGCATTCGAAACGTCCTCTCTCTCTCTCTCTCTCTCTCTCTATATATATATATATATATATATATATATATATGGGGGTTGGGTGCACGTGAGACAAGGTTGTTTTCGTGAGACACATGAAACATGATTTTTACACTTGAAACTTCACAACAAAATGCTGTGAAGATTAAAAAAAAGCTGAATCTTCACAACAAAAAACTGTGAAGGTTACCTTTATAGTGTTTTGATGTGAAGTTTCAAGTGTAAAAATCATGTCTCACGAAAAGAGCCTTGTCTCACATAATCCCAAGCTATGCTGTTACTGCGGTCAAAATACAAAATATCGGTCAGGACCGATATTCGATATTTCAGTTATATCGATGATATATCGGTCCAAAATAACGGTTAATATAATATTTCTTAGAATTATATATATATATATATATATTATGTATATATATATATATTATGTATGCATCCATAAACATATCATATGCATTAATTAGAGTTTAGAAATATAGTTTCAAAACTAAAACATCACATAAACAAGTCTCACAAAACAAAATAGTAAAAGTGTTCAAAAACGAGTTAATCACAAACAATAAGCGTGAACTGTGAAAGAACCGAGAAGAGAAGAAGCGTGAGACTTAATATATGTGTTGACCGGTTGACCAAATAAAAAGACCCAAAAAACTAAGCCCGACATGTAATAGAAAAAACCCAAACATTTGTCTTATAGAAAATCGGTATATCGGACCGATTTTTCCATCAAAATATCGGCGATATTATTGGAACCGATATTTTGACCGATATTTCACCACCGATATTTTTCCAGAGTCCGATATCTGATATATCAGCGATATATCGCGATTTTAACCGTATACACAATATAATGGAACCTCTCTTCTCTACTCAAGAGCTTTTGGGAAGTAATTTAATGGGTTCTCATTATGAAAAACGAAAACACATACTTTGAACCAAAGATAATGAAGTTTAAAGAAGCCTAATTTCTGTCTTTATTCATAATATATATATATATATATGCCTAGTTATAAACATGACAGACTCAGACCTACAACAGTCAATGGAAGAACACAACAGCAGTATCATCGCATTCTTACTTGGTCTAAATTCAAGATAAATTTAGTAACTTACCCCTACTATCATATCTGCACAAGATGAGTACAAACTACTTGTGGGTATGTGCAACGGTCTCCTTGTCTCGATATTTCACCATATTCCAAAGCTGCACCCCACATGATCTTGAGTGATGATGTTTAAGCGTTCTCGCATCACGCCCATTGATGGGTAAGCAGGAAAACATAATCGGTAGAAGCATGTGTGCGAAGAAGGCAGAAGGTCCAGGGAATCGTTCGATTTATAAATGTAAAGCTTTGACGCCAAACCTTCGAAACCCTCGACTGGTAGATGCTTTAGGGATGTCCAAAACAGAAGAAGAACCTTTTGTTGCTCCGCTGTCATTTCCCCAACGATCTGTTAAAAGACGGAAATTTAATTTACTTCTTAGTAATATTATACTATAGAGGACATTCTTTGCTGTTCAAAGAATACAAGCTTAATTGCTAAAACCTTTTAATGATGTTAATCATTTAACTGATCTAGGATCGATGAAATTATACATTTCCTTCGATACCCCTACCAACCTGTTTCGGATTTCGGTTGGCAATATCTTCTCTTCTCTAAAGTCGCAACAAACAACCAATAAACATGAGACTTATGCAATAATCAAAGTGCATGATAACTGGATTTTAAGGGTAAAGTTGGAATAAAATTCTATAACCAAACTAAACCAAACCAAGTTCGGAGATGGGGTCCCGGGGTTCGCAGACCTCGCCTCTACCCCGAAAAGTAAGACAGTGTGGAGTGTGCGAGAAAAAAAACGCAATAGGGGGAATCTTATAGACAAATCAATCTTAT